AGGCTATGAATAATAAGTACGACGTTCAGCCTTTTCCTAAACCTCGGCTCCCTTTTTATAGGCGAGGTTTAGGTTAGGCGTACCAGGCTTTTAGCCTGTCTAAATGGGCCTAACACTTGGCCTGATTTCTATCTAATTTATGCACTATTTAAATACAAGGATTAAATATAAAGCTAATCTATGACCAACTTGATTCACAATTAAATATCTCCAACAGACCTGATTGTCTTAACCTTCAAGTTCTTCTCAGTCTGAAGTTGCTTTAACAGAGATGGCAACTTCTGAAGAGTTTCATTTTTCTTTGACAGAAAGATAGTCCATGTATATCTGGAATAGTCATCAACCATGACTAGGGTGTATTTCTTGCCACCAACGCTTGGAGTTTCAACAGGTCCAAATAAATCCATGTGGATCAGATTTAAAGGACTTGTAGAAAGATCTCAATCAATGGGTTTGAAAGAGTTCTTCTGTTGCTTTCCCGTCTGGCATGCACTGCAGAGGGTCTCTTTCTTGTAGACTATGTCTGGCAGTCCATCAACTATGTGTTCCCTTGCAAGTTTTTTGATTGTGTTGAAGTTCAAATGGCTAAGCTTCGTGTGCCAGTGCCAGCTTAGTTTTGAATCTCCCTTGGCTATCAGGCAAACTCCATCCTTTGCAGTGTTCCAATCAACCACATAGATGTTCTTCTTCCTTGATGCTGTAAGAACCACTTCTTTTGTTATCTCATGCTTCACATAGCAGAAGTCCTTTGTGAATTCAACAGTGTAGCCTTTGTCACAGAATTGGCTAGCACTCAGCAAGTTGAACTTCAGTCCTTTAACATATGAGACATCATCAATGACTATCTGGTTCTTGATCAGGTTCCCTCTTCCTTTTGTTTGACCTTCTTTGTCATTACCTCCAAAGGTAACTCTAGGTCCTTTGCATTTTTGGAACTCAGTTAGGCAACTTCTGTCACCTGTCATGTGCCTGGAGCATCCACTATCAATAAACCATTCTTGCTCTGAGATAGCTCCAGCACACAGTTCCTGCAAGATCAAAAGAAAGATTTAGGTACCCAAGCAATGCTGGGTCCTGGGGGTCATGGAGTCTGGGTAGTTGGTACCATTTTGGTCTCATCAGGTGAAACCTTGGTGGATGGTACACATTGTCCACCTGGTAGTTATAGTAAACTGAAGTGTGATTCACTTTGGGCAGATGCTTGTGAGGGTCATGCTTCCTGTTTACATACTTTTGCATAGCTTTCTTTGTTGGAAAGAAGTCCCATATACTATCAAGAGCAGAGGAACGGTTAGGTTTGGGCTTCTGAAGTTGACCAGCCAACCTCTTCTGTCTAAAGTTAACTCTCTCTTGATATTTGCCCTTCTGGTTGTCATTTCTGGCACGATTGTCATGAGGTTGTCTGTCAATGAATGGTCTTTTATTTTTGTTATTCTGAAAACCTTTTCTATTGTTAGGTTTTCTGCCAGGTTCATTATTTTTCAAAAAGGGTTTCTGTTGAACCTTTATCTTTCCCTTTTCTGGTCTAACTTCCTCATGAACAACCTTGGTGCCAGATACACCAACTTGACAAATGGGGCTATAAATCAGTGGCACTATGACCTTATCTGCCTTAGCAACACTGGTGCTAGGCATTACAGAAGGCTCACCTGATTCTGTTGAGCCATAACCAAGACCAAAGCCAGTGCCAATCTGTTGATCAAGTAAAATCTTTTCCATGGAAGACTGGGCCTTCTGGTAAGCTTTGTACTTAATCTCGAGAGGCTCTATTTCTCTTATTCTCTTGAGAAGAGAAACATTTTCAGCCTCCAACTGATCTCTTTCCTTAATTAGAAGATTGATTTTGATCTCAACCTCCTTTTTCAAGTCAAGAATTTCAGCTTTCAACTTACTGTTTTCTTGTGTTACAGAGGAATAAGTGGCTTGGATGGCCTTAAACTCTTCCCAAAATTCTGACATTGAATCAAAATCAAAAGCTAAGCCTACCGAAGAAAAACTAGATGCAGAAGTAGAGGTTACCTCATCATCAGAATGAGCCATGAGGCATAGGACTTCTGTCTCAGTATCAAAGCAGCAGAAGGCCTCATCAGAATCAGAGTCAGAACTGGGTTCTGTCTCTGACAGAGGGTCTTTCTCGAGCTGTTTTGTCACAAGTGCTCTTCTCCTTCTGGAGTTGTCTTCATACTTCTTCTTTTCTCCATCATGCCCTTGTTTCTTGGACACTCTTGGGTGTGGACATTCTGCTTTGAAATGTCCAAGTTGTCTGCAGTTGTAACAGAGAAGCTCACCACTGCTTTCTGTTGTTTTGACCTTCTGGAATGGCTTTCTGCTGAATGATGGACTTCTTCCATCTTTAGGATTCTTCATGAACTTCTTGAATCTCCTAGCAAAAGCAGCCATATATTCGTCAGATAAAAGTACTGAAGGGTCAAAATCATTTACCTTTGATGTGCTGGCAGTGAGGGCTGTAGTGGTCCTCTCTTCTGGTACATCTTCTTTTTCTTCAATCATTTCAAACTCATGAGCTTTGAGATCTGAAATGAGCTTATCAGTGGGATAAGTCTTCACATCCTTGCTGGCTAGGACAGCAACCACCTTCATTTTCCATGCTGAGGGCAGTCCCCTCAACACCTTAAGGTTGATCTCCTTGGTGGTGAGTTCCTTGCCAAGCTCAGAGATCTCTCCAGTGAGAGTGAAGAGCCTGTCATACATCTTGGAGATGCTTTCACCAGGAAGAAGCTTGAAGTCATCAAACTTCTTGTTGGCTATAGTCAGCTTGTTGTCCTTCTCTTGCTCATCACCAGCTCCAATGAGCTCAAGAGTATCCCAGATTTCCTTTGCAGTCTTGCACTTCTTTATTCTGTTGAAGTACCTATCATCGATGGACTTGTAAAGAATATCCTTAGCAATGTTGTCCAGATTTTACTTCCTTCTTTCTTCAGTGGTCCACTCAGATTTGGCCTTATTGATCATCTGAGGTCTAGTGTTGTCAATAGCATGTTCAGGGTTGACCTTCTGGAAGCTTGTGAAGGGCCCAATGTCAAGTACTTCCCACATCTCATCATGCAGAGCACAGAGATGTGCCTTCATCCGGATCCTCCAGTCATCAAATTTGAGATATGAGAACAAAAGATTCTTGGACAAAGAGTGATCCATTATATCAGATAAAAATGAGGTAAAACAGAAAAACAAGTGGATCTTTGTTCAGTAAATAACCTAAGAGATTATTAGAACAAGGAGGCTCTGATACCACTTGTTGGTCCCGGTTGTACTGGATACAGTCTAGAGGGGGGGTGAATAGACTGTATTGGTTTTTAACTTTTTCAAGCTAAGTACCAGATTTAACAGAATAGCCTGTTCTGTTGACAGAACAGACTGGCAGCGGATGGGGTTCTGGTAGGGAGTTCTGTTTGTAGCCTCAGAGAAGCAAAGGCAGTAGGCCTTCTGTTAACTCACAAGACAAGTTCTGTTGAACACAGATACCAAGTCTTTGGAGTTAGACAGTTCAAATAAAAACAATGAATGTAAAGCAGTATGTAAATGACACCAGGGCTTTTTATAGTGGTTCAAGGAACAACTTGTTCCTCTAGTCCACTGTTCCACTAAGCTTGTAAAAACGTCTGTTTACAATGCCTTAGCCCTATCACTTAAGAAGCTCTCCACGTCTTCTTCAAGTGTAGATGTCTTCTTGGATGCACTTTCGGCTTCCCTCAGACTGGTCCTTTCACTGAGCTTTCCCAGAAGTATCACCACTTCACAGCTCCAGGTACTTGGACGTCCTTCTTGTGAAAGAAGAGGTTCTATTTAGAACAGAGGTTCCTCCAACTTGCTTCGTTACAAAGAGTTTGTATGTGATGAGCTTGAAGAGTTGAAGAACACTTGGAACTTTGCTTGAGTTGGAAATAAGGATTTTTCCAACTTCTGCCTTCTCTTGTAGAGGATGATGAAGTTTTAATCTCAAGGAGGCTTTTTGCGTTTTAGCGTTTGAGTATCTTGTAAGCCGAGTTGTAGCAAAAGTTAGCAAAGTTTTTTTGATTGTTCTTCGTAGTGTATCTTTTATACTGGGGTTGTCTTCCCGTTGGAGGAGAAGGAGGACAACTTCATTAAATGAGCGAGCAGTTGACTTGACCAGTAGGACCCGGTAAAGTTGGCGGGTTACTATTTTGGGATAAAGTAACCCTGACATTGCGGCCAATCATCTGCAATTACTCTACGGAGTATGGAAGGCATTAAATGTGCATTTAATGCGCGCACTGTAGCTTTTCCGTTCAAGACTCCTAGCCGTTGAAGGAATCTTTCAGTTGGTTTCCCGGTTTGGTGGAATTCTTCTAAGTGTCAGGCCTTCTGGTGTCTTTAGCAGAGAGTTGATCAGAGAAGGTCTTGAGCACTTCTGTTGAAGAGATATCTAACAGAGAACCAGGAGGGTTTCTGTCAGAGTAAAGGCTAACAGAGACCCTGAGGTCTTCTGTTCTAAAGCAGAGAACCAAAGGTCCTCTGTTCAACCAAAGCCTTATCAAGGGTCTTCTGCTCTGGAGGCTTTCTGCTATGAAGGTCTTCTGCTCTGGAGGTCTTCTGCTAAGTCGATTATACTAAAGAATTTACAAAGGAAAAAATCTAATACATTAGGTCTAAAGAGGGGTACTCTAAAGTCCTAACACTAGTAGAAAAATGGTCTATAGTGACACTAAATTAGTGTCACTAAAAGTTTTAGTGACACCATAAAAGTGTCAACGAATGGTTGGAACTCTGACACTAAAAAATGTGTCACTAAAAAGTATCAGTAAATTGTGACACGTTAGTATCATCAAATATAGTGATACATTTGCATTGGTATACTTAATGACACTTTGATATCATATAAATTAGTGATATCACTAATGTTACAAAAACCTATGATACTCTTGCGCCATCCAGATTTATGATACTATAGTATCAACTATTGAACAATTTTATTACTTTTTTTGCACCACCATATCCACCTAAAAGTTTAATTTTCAAGCTTGTAGACAAATATAAAACAAATTCATAATCATTCAAAGTATTCTATAATTGTCATATAGATTCAAATCAAAGTCAATTCAACATGAAAATTCAAAGATAAGTTAACCTAGCTTGTTTTCAAAACAAAGCAAAATCCAAAATACCAATATTCTTGAATTGTAGTCTAGCTACATAGGGCTGCAAACATTAAGTAGTCATTACATATGTTCCGGAAAAACATAAAGTACATCACAATCATCAAAATCTTATGTCCTTCCAACCATTTGTACTACTTAACAGCCATAATGCTACAAGCTTCACAAAAATCCATCTAGCACAGTTATTCACGTTCGTCACTTCAGCCTGTAAAAATAATAATGATAACTATTTCAATCATCACACTACAAAAAATCCTAATTACTGAAAACTACATTCTTAACACACTTATCTCAATAAATAAAATTTCAACTTACTCATTCAGTAGGTTTGCTACATATGAGACCCATTCTTCACGTATTTGCAGTATATCATCTTCAGAGTACTCATTGATTGTGGAGAATTAAAGCAACACCAAAACAAAAACTTAACATTGCTTTTAAAAAATACTACAAAACCAAGAATGAGAACCTAAAATCATTTCATGTGTAGGAAAAATACTGAAGCATCACACAAAAATAAGACATATGAAGGATTGCATTCTGATAAACACATTCAGGAGGAAACACAATAATCTCAAACGGCATATCTCTCAAAATCCAAACAATAAATAGGTAGAATTCTAGTTTTCGTTATTAAGAACAACCTAGCCAATTGAGGGCTACTGCCCTCCAACAAGATGAGTCAATGCTGAAAACAGAAAGTAAATAAAGTTTAACAAACTGAACAAAGTTCGGGCAGATTGTGCTCTAAGCATGCATATCACATTACTAGCTATTGACAACAAATCTTTTTTATTCATCCACCCCTATTCATCCACCCCTAAGCACATGACAAAAAACTTGCTATGAACATGATCAATTAAATCAATAAATCAATAAATTTGACTCACATTAATTAAATTGCTAACTTGTAACCAAATTAGACGATCAAAATTAATAAACCAACAATGATAGCAAATGAAATGAACTAGTGTGGAGTACTCGAGCAAAGAACTGATCTGCTGCAAAACTAAATACTAATTGACGGACCCACAAAAATAGTTAGGAAAATTAACAAAAGCACATAAATTAGTAAATTAGTAAATTGACACATTAACTAAATCCAGCAGCAAAGATAGCATGAAAACTACCTATTCTTTAGGTTATTCTGCCATAAAAATTAACAAAACCAGCATACACTAACCAGCAAAACCAATATAAATTAACCAACAAAACTATTAAAAAAAGAGAAGCTAACCAAACAAAAAACTATCAACAAAGTAAAACAACTTAAATCGCAGATTTCTTACCTTTTTAGGAGGAGAAGCGGCGTGTGGATGCTTCGTGCATTCTGCTGGGAGGGGGCAGAGGACTTGGGCCACTACCGGAGGAGGCAGGGTTGCTGGTGAAAGGAGACAACCTAAGAAAACCTAAGAATGATGAACTTGAATAAATAGCTTAATGTTCAAACAATGAATCAATACTAAATTCGCTCAAATTAAAAAAAAATGTTATGATCATCAAGATGTTTTCTACAGCTTTGCTTTCCCTCATAAAATTCAGACAACAGATGAAACCTAATAAAAAAGTAGCATCAAATTATACTAATTTTCAGTGTGAGGTTCATCCTTGGAGATCTACTCACACTTCAGACTTGGATTCAATCTTGAAACATAGATTTCTATATCATCAATTTCACATTTTTCCCAGAAAGCAAGGAATGCCATTGCAAATAGTTAGCTTTGTTATGCACAAAAGCAGAAAAGCTTCAATTTTGGAGGGGAGTACACTCGAATCCCACAATGAACCAATAAAGACAAATGGTGAGGTTAGTCTGGTTTAATGAAGACCTCCATTGTGACGGTCTGTGAGAAGAAAAAAGGTTTGTTGCCAATTTTGAACAAAAAGGGCAGGAAACAAAAATTGATGAAATGGAAAAGAGCAGGGAACCACGAGCTTACTTTGAACACAGACGCCTCTTTCTTCGATAACAAAAGCTGAGGAGGTGCTGTATTGCATACTTCTGAAAGTATCTTTCTCAATGCAATAGCCTTCCCACTGACAGCAGTTAACCCTCTAGAGGCAGAAATTTTGGCCATTGAACCCTCAATTCAAACAACGATAACCACAAGTTACCAATCGTTCACTGTTCAAAGCGACTTGGAAATCATCATCAAAATACTAAACGGGTTTTCAAAATTACCTGGATACCTAGCGAGATCGGTGGTGAGGATCAATTGCCTGAAATCATCACGATTCACAATGAATAATCTCCCCTTCAAAGCAAAAAAAGCGTATTACGAAGATAAGAACAGGTCTACCTTATTCAGGGATACAGGCTGACTGGAGATTATCACTCGCTGAAGCACCGTATCCCACCCAGTGCCGATGACCTACTCTGTTTTCCTCTCACCGTCTCTCTCAAAATCATGAAACCTGTGTAAATACCCTAATGGCTTGACCGACATTTCCCTTTGGCCCTATTATGTTTGCTATGGCTTCCCCTGAAACGCAGAAGCGGAAGATGAAGGATCGGAGGTTGAGAGTGAGCTGCGCTGTGTGAAGAATAATGGAAGGATTAGGGTTAAAATTTATAAAATTTATAAAATAAGCCCCATTTCAAAACAATATTTTAATAAATTATAAATATGACCCCGTTTTTTCACATTGAGTGTCACTATTAAATGGTGATGTTATTGTGTCAGAAATTAGTGATACTTATGTGTAAACTTTCAGTTATGTCGTCAGTTTTTGACACTAAATTGAATAGTGTCACTAACGAAGTGTCACTGTAAGGCAGTTTTCTAGTAGTGTAATTAATTTAGCATCATCAAAATATAATTACAAATATTCCTTACAGAGCGTTAGGAAGCAGAAGGCTCAAGTGAGCAAGAAAACAATAATCAATGATAAGTCTGCTACTTCAACTGCCTGCTGAATTGAATATTTACTCCTAGCCACTCAAATACTCTGGAAAATTCCCAAATAGGTTCAGGACTGATTTAATCAGATCCCGGGTAGAAGTCACTTCATCTTGTCCAACAGTGCATGTTGAACCCTACCCAAGACCACTCACTTGTCTCCCAATAGACAGGTGTTTAATCATACTTCACGGGGAACTGCATCTCTCATTAATGTCTCCTTCTGAGGCAAGTGATATTGACTACAGTGGCCTCAGCCCCATGCCACTGAACTTTCATTGATCACGTCGTGTCTAGTTACTCACTCCCAAATCTTTTGAAATTTTCTAGGACACAGACGCAATTTTTGAGTCAGTTCCAAGTCTACATGACCCGCTAGAACTTTCATAGGGCTCATCTATTACAGATGTAGACCAACGATTAGAAGGAAGTACTGCTGTTGCAACATAAGAATCACCAACATTTTCGGGCCATTGCTAAAGAGTTTATCTCTATAGTGTTGATAACGGGCGTCTACACGACCCCGGGGGGCTACGTTATCTTCTTTACATTCTGCTTGTTTTTCCTGTTTTATTTCCGCAGAATAAAAGAATAAAGGCATGACGCCACGATTCATCAGACCGTCATGAGGGGGAGAGTGTTCCACATGCTGTTTAACTCTCAAAAATCATTCTCGGACACTTCTCTCCTCCAACACTCTCTCTACTATCTCCGCAACTCAAATGGTCAGCTACGCTCACATGTAAACCATCATTATGTTCCGCTGTGCCACGGACAAGTTCTCCTCAAATTTATTCATTCCAAATAGTCAAAAAGACTACATTGTGGAGGAGACAAAGGTCAAATACTCGTGTCCTGAAGATGAATCCCGTGCGCCCCTGATAATCATCAGAACATTCGTTATAGAGGCATCACCAGACTTCATCCAAACTGATCAAGAGCAACTTCTGGAAGGCAAGGATTACAAGAAAAAGATTCCTCAAACCTCGGCATCAAAGATCAAACTGCCAAGAAAACATCAATGGTGAGATTGCGAGGATTTCTTCATAAAGCCTTCTCAAGAAATCAAGTTCAAAGACAAAGGAAGCTCAATAACAATAAGGACAAAGATATCTTTGCTGCAATGCTGATTCAACACGATTGAACACCAAGGGGGAGATTGTTGCAAATGTTTTATGGTGTCCAATCTAATTAAATATCTTTGTATTTGTGTAGTTATTAATTAAACGTGTAATACGGGCCACAAATGTGTATCAGCCCGTTAGCTTCTTTGTAACCTGTAAGTTAGCCAACTTCTCCTATAAAAGGAGGCTAACTTACGGGAACCCTAAGAATCGAAAGCATCAAGGCTCGAGAGCATAGAGGCGCAAAGATAGAGAGATTAGGGTTTACCGCTGCTCTCCTTCTCGAGGGAGAGCAGCGGCCTGTTTACACGGTATACCAAAGGTGTTGTTAATCTTGATATCTTTCTATCTGCTTCTTCTTCTTCACTGCTATGATTGTTTGCTTGTTAGTATATGGGTTTAACAATAGGGAAACCGTCAACATGGCGGTACCTGTTCAGATTGCTCCACACACATGGCGGGTATGACGAGCGGTGAGCAATCAAACCTTGCACATTCTGAGGGTCAGTTTTCTCCTCCTGGCGCCTTACACCGACAAAGCAAGGAATCTCTCAACGGATGCAACATTTTAGGGGGAGTGTTCAATGTTATCCTCCCCGGTGCCTAACAATGAAAAAGCATACTGAGTGCTCCAGTTGAGGGGGAGTGCAGAGAAAAAATCAATGAGAGAACATGTTCCTATGGCTTAGTAAACCCAACTAAGCCTACCCAAGGGACAAAGCCGAGAGTGAGTGAGTGAGTGAGTGATCATTATGAGCGTTAGGAAGCAGAAGGCTCAAGTGAGCAAGAAAACAATAATCAATGATAAGTCTGCTACCTCAACTGCCTGCTGAATTGAATATTTACTCCTAGCCACTCAAATACTCTGGACAATTCCCAAATAGGTTCAGGACTGATTTAATCAGATCCCGGGTAGAAGTCGTTGCATCTTGTCCAACAGTGCATGTTGAACCCTACCCAAGACCACTCACTTGTCTCCCAGTAGATATGTGTTGAATCATACTTCACGGGGAACCGCATCTCTCATTACTGTCTCCTTTCGAGGCAAGTAATACTGACTACAGTGGCCTCAGCCCCATGCCACTGAGCTTTCATTGATCACGTCGTGTCTAGTTACTCACTCCCAAATGTTTTGAAATTTTCTAGGAAACAGACGCACTTTTTGAGTCAGTTGCAGGTCTACATGACCCGCTAGAACTTTCATAGGGCTCATATATTACAGATGTAGACCAACGATTGGAAGGAAGTCCTGCTGTTTCAACATAAGAATCACCAATATTTTCAGGCCATTGCTAAAGAGTTTATCTCTATAGTGATGATAACGGGCGTCTACATGACCCCGGGGGGGCTACGTTATCTTCTTTACATTCTGCTTGTTTTTCCTGTTTTATTTCCGCAGAATAAAAGAATAAAGGCATGACGCCCCGATTCATCGGACTGTCATGAGGGCGAGAGTGTTCCACATGCTGTTTAACTCTCAAAAATCATTCTCATACACTTCTCTCCTCCAACACTCTCTCTACTATCTCCACAACTCAAATGGTCAGCTACGCTCACAAGTCAACCATCATTATGTTCCGTTGTGCCACGGACAAGTTCTTCTCAAATGCATTCATTCCAAATAGTCAAAAAGACTACATTGTGGAGGAGACAAAGGTCAAATACTCATGTCCTGAAGATGAATCCCGTGCGCCCCTGATAATAATCAGAACATTCATTCTAGAGGCATCACCAGACTTCATCCAAGCTGATCAAGAGCAACTTCGGGAAGGCAAGGATTACAAGAAAAAGATTCCTCAAACCCCGGCATCAAAGATCAAACTGCCAAGAAAACATCAAAGGGGAGATTGCGAGGATTTCTTCATAAAGTCTCTCAAGAAGTCATGTTCAAAGACAAAGGAAGCTCAATTACAATAAAGACAAAGATATATGTGCTGCAATGCTGATTCAACACGATTGAACACCAAAGGGGAGATTATTGAGAATATGTTATGGTGTCCAATCTAATTAAATATCTTTGTATTTGTGTAGTTATTAATTAAACGTGTAATACGGGCCACAAATGTGTATCAGCCCGTTAGCTTCTTTGTAACCCGTGAGTTAGCCAACTTCTCATATAAAAGGAGGCTAACTTACGAGAACCCTAAGCATCGAAAGCATCGAGGCTCGAGAGCATAGAGGCGCAAAGATAGAGATATTAGGGTTTACCGCTGCTCTCCTTCTCGAGGGAGAGCGGCGGCCAGTTTACACGGTATACCAAAGATGTTGTTAATCTTGATATCTTTCTATCTGCTTCTTCTTCACTGTTATGATTGTTTGTTTGTTAGTATATGGGTTTAACACAAACACTCCCGTACCCCACAAATGTACGAGACGTTTGCTCTTTCCTTGGTCATGCCGGATTCTATAGAAGATTCATCAAAGACTTCTCCAAAATTTCATCTCCTCTATGCAAACTTTTGCAAAAGGAGGTGGAATTTGATCTCAATGATGAATGCAAGGAAGCTTTTGATACTTTGAAAGCAAGGCTAGTGACTGCCCCAATCATAAGAGCTCTCGATTGGTCTCTTCCTTTTGAGATCATGTGTGACGCAAGTGACTATGCGGTAGGGGTTGTTCTAGGCCAAAAGATTGGGAGGGCTGATCATGTTATCTACTATGCCTCCTCAACTCTCAATGAAGCACAAAAGAACTACTCCACCACCGAGAAAGAAATGCTAGCGGTGGTCTTTGCTTTGGAGAAATTTCATTCCTATCTTCTTGGAACGAAAGTGATTGTGTACTAACAAAGAAATTTCATTCCTATCTTCCTAATGACAAAGAAGGAGGCCAAGCCAAGACTCATTCGATGGGTCCTTCTATTGAGTGAGTTCGATGTAGAGATCAAGGACAAGAAAGGAGCTGAGAACTTGGTGACCGATCATCTAAGCCGCCTAATTACTAACAAAGACATCGAGGGCCTCCATACAAATCTCATCAAAGGCGAATTTACAGATGAAACTCTCTTCTCCATCAAGGTCATACAACCATGGTACACAAATATTGTAAACTTTCTTGTTTCCGGCAAATTTCCTCCACAACTCTTAAAATCTCAAAAAGAATAATTAAGAATGGATTCAAGACTCTATGTTTTGGATGACCCATATTTATGGAAGCATTGTAAGGATCAAATAATCCGAAGATGCATCCCCGAATATGAGATAGCCCACATTATAGAGTTTTGTCATTCTTATGCTTGTGGAGGACATTTCGGCCCGAAACGGACGACAATGAAGATACTTGAAAGTGGTTTTTGGTGGCTGAGTCTTTTTCGTGATGCAAGTGGCTTTTGTCGATCTTGTGACAATTTCCAAAGAGCTTGAAACATTTCTAGAAGAAACGAGATGCCACAAAACCCCATGCTTTTTTGTGAGATTTTCGATGCATGGGGTATTGACTTCATGGGGCCTTTCCCAAACTCTCAAGGTAACATGTACATCCTTCTTGCAGTAGATTACGTATCTAAATCGGTGGAAGCTAAAGCCACAAAAA